GTAGGGCAAATTTAGAAGAAACCCTAACTTATATTTTTGCTGGACATATCATCTAAGCATATGTCAATAATACATGATGGACATTTTCAATTTTTTTTTGCTATATTCTCTTATTTTTGGCATAGAGTATTCATAATACTGCTGGATTGTTTTCAACACTTCATGATCACAAATTATATATTGATTATAAAAGTTATAGGATAAGATGTGATAACTTGTATTTTGTAGTATCAATGAATGCAAAGGTTACCTTAAATTATATAGATGTTGATTGAAGACACTCATAAAATTACAAATCTAGGATCAATGCTTATGTAGCTGTTGAATATTCACAAGTTTAGCTTTCACATAATATCCATTAAAGTTCGTTTACAATATGCTAAAATAATATTTATTAACACATAAGGATTGTGTGAATCACTTTCTTTTCATAATTACACATTAATTTTAAAAGATGTATGAAGGCATCAATTATGTTTGCTGTCATAGCACATACAATAGCCTATAAATGTTCTCCTATTCTATGTAATACTCCATAATATGGGCTTAGCAAAGTAACAGAGTATTACATCATTTATTGCATTATAAAAAGTAAATGTAAGGCAGTCAAGTTACATCTTATAATTTCTAATACCAGAAGTAAATGACGAATAGAAACTTTATTAATCATCAAATAAAAAAGTTTTGCTTTCAACTTTTATAAATCATCTAAAAAATTAGGTGCATATCCACCTAATAGTTCAGATGATAATCCTTCCAATACTCCTTTATAAGAAAAGTGTTTGGTACTACAGATGATCTTTATTATGACTTTACAAGAAATATTATAGGTTGTAAAAAAACATGGTAGTAATTACTAAAAAGCAAATACATTATAAGAATGAGCTTGAGCGTGGCTGTTGAATTAGATGATACGCCGAATAGTTGTTGATCAGAATATCAAGTACCCAATTACTTAACAATGATTATGCTGTAGCATATTTATAAACTAAACATAATATTGAGCTGAGCATTGCAAATAATTACATCAAGAATATTATTAAGATAAGAAGTACAATATAATAACTAATATTGACTTTTCCTAAAATCACCATATTTTTTGCAATAAGTAATTCTACAAAAACAGTATATATAAGAAAGATTCGAGTAGGGCAGCCAAATTATAGGACAAGACTAGAAAATGTGGCTCAAAAGCTTGCAGCGTTATGTACAAAAAAAGTTCTCCAAGCAAAGGAAGGGTGTATGCATTATAACCTGAAATTAAGAAGATCAAATATAAACAGACTAGTAAATTAAACTATCTTTGCTTCAATATAGCCAACACGTGCAAACGATAGCATTATATATCTTACTTCCCCCGATTATTTTTTAATTTTAGATTCTAATATTTTTTTTTAAATAATATCATGGCAGAAGATATGGTCAGAGATATAGGAAAAAGAAAGTTCAAGGGAATCGTAATGATAAGACATCGCCCAAAGACTTAGGCTTAGATTCCCATGTGCCTAGCGAGTAATATATGAGGAGGATCATGGAACTATTGCATTTGATCATTAGAAGTTCAGATATTAATTTTAATTCTTAAAACACTTTGTACCTCCATTAATAATATTCCACACACACAAGAGCAAGTAAATACTAAATTTAAGCGTTGAAATGATCATAAAGAAACTGCAACTATACATAAGTTAGATTTCAAATTGAAATTCTGAAATGTAGTGGATTAAAAGTTGTTTTATCGAA